CGAACAGACTTGTCACCCTGAATTAGTGAATTAATTGGATTGCAGGGTAATAAGCTTGGTTGCGCGACCATCTACCTCTGATGGATCGTGCATCCAAAAGGGGGATTCGAAAATCGATATAATAGTCAATGAGCATTGCAAAGAATCTAATTTCATGGGTGAACATTTCATGTTTTATGTGGTACAGAATTTCAAACGGCGCTTAAACTGTGTTTCAGACCTGTGTAGTACTCTTTGTGCGATAACTAAATAAGGATGGTATTCTACAACGTTCCGCTTAAGACCGAAAAAAATTAGTGCCCGACATTTCATTTAAGGAGAAATCAAGATCCAATTCGGTGGCTAATTATAGTGAAGGGCTGGTGAAACTGAAAAATGTATTTATGCAGAATGTCCATACTTAGAGCAATTTATTCTGTGAGGACCATTTTTCCGCACATGAGATGGTTGACGTCACTCTATTAAAGAGGAGCATTCATTGAGTAGAATTCTAGAGGCCTACAGAACTCTGCATTCTACATCAATGGCACCCAGCTATAGTTCTCTTGCCATAATCAAGCCACAGCTAAACGACCGAATGCAGATCGTTATCATGTTTTGCGTGGACTTTTCCACAGGCTCTTATTGATCTGTTCATACGATGACGCATTTACCCGATTGGATACAAACACGTTGACTCGCTCTCTTGACTCTCAGAATTATAGATCCATCCGAAACTGCCATTTTGTGCCCAAATAAAGTTGCTCTAATGACAGATAAATATAGAGCTTTTGGCGTCATTTGTCGGATTCCTATTGGTTAACACACTCCGTGAGAATCTGTGGTTGCCTATAGCTTGGGAAGTCGTAAACAGTTGACGCGATTTCGACTTCCCTGTGTTTAAGGGCTTGCTTTCAGTTTTGACGCCAACACTGCCTTTTACCTCATTTACTGATGACATTTTTATCGGCAAGGATATCAAATACCGAATTCTGGGCACTGCAGAAGCTGTTGCCGTCCACCATTACAAATTATCCTTGTGTAAGGAATAACCATTTATTCACAGCTCTCTAGTTCTCTATGCGAAGCGAAACCTCAGTATTCTCTGCGTCAAGGTCTGTGTAGCTATCGGTCAGCAGCCGTGATGTTCGTGGCATTCACTATGCGATGAACTGGCGATTCAAACCCTATTTTTAATCCTGTAAAGTCGCACAATATTCACTACATTGAATACTGTTGTTTCCTTTATTTTATTAGCTTTTAGATGTTGCTAACCTGAGAGCCTGAAAAAGAATGGCAAAGAAAGAATCCTTTGTCATACAAATTTTGCCTCTTCAAGCCTTTCTTTGCATAGACTTTACAAAGGAACCGATAAATGGAGTACTCTTCGTGCACTGGCATATAAAATAACTCCTTACTTAAAAACGTTTATTTTATTCGAGATTATACACTAATTTCCTATTTACTACGAAAGGAAACAACCAAAGCAAAATCAAGAAAAGACACATTACTCGCGGGCTACGGAAGTTCTAGATTCCTTCTCAAGTAGCACATGTGAGCACAGTGAATTTCAGCTAAGACTCAGTGCTAGACAGTTTGGCTGAATTTAGTTGAGAACTACATGGCACCAAACAATTCAGCTAGCAGGGCGAAAGAATTTAGTTGAGAACTACATGGCACCAAACAATTCAGCTAGCCAGGGCGAAAAATATGCTGCGGAATATGTTATCTGACTTTCATTCTTTTTGCTGCCAAGTTGATCGAAAGTAAGGGCTGAACAATGCGTTTTCCACTTTCAAGACTGTTCAGGCACAGAGTTGTTAGAGGTGGCCTTCCGTTTTAACAAAATTCAGTTGAAGTTAAGGGGGTCTAACAGACTGCACCTGGCGCGGCTGAATGTTTGAAAACTGTCTTGCGTTAGCACACTGACAAAGGGAAGTCTGTTTGCAAACCAGTGATGCTGATCTCAACCCAAAAATGCACCTTTACTCTCCTGGGAAGACAAACAACAATATGACAGCGTAGTATTTTGAGGGTTGTAAGAAGCTTTTGTAACGTGCTATTGCTACCGGTTATTTGGACCCCACGGTGCTATCGAGATGGCCACTCACGCACAACGGTCTGCCTAAAGCCACAGGTGTCACTTAACTACCAGATGCAGAAGAGGTAGAACTAAAATAGCAAACGTAGCCGAATAATACAAAACCAGAGAGCTTGGACAGTTTTAAATGGCCTCACCTTAGGAAGGTGAGACCAAACTAAGAAACATCTCTCTGTTGGCACAATTTCACTGTTCACCTAATCAGATAGGTACAGCTTGTACCGAATGCAACAGTGATGCTTGACCATCCAGAATGTCGTCTACCTAGTTTATTCAGGCGGTCGTGATCTCTGGTGCGAGTTTGTTGCTTTAGACCATTCATATGTTTTGGACAGTATTTCCAATCAAACTGTTTAGCTTAGCTTGTCCTTAGAATAGGCGTTTCGGGCAGATTTGCGTCTAGAAACCTAAAGTTGTTGGGCGATAAATTTCAGGAAAACCTGACACCATTATTGGACAAACCATACAAATTGATTTGTCTTGGCTAAGCAAGACAAGCCATTTTCGGTGACATTCACCTGCTGCGCTAGTATCACGCGGTTCTTTGGTAAACGCTCAGGAGGAACATGGGGTTCCAACTGATTCGCTGGTGTGACAGAACTTCATCGAGTCATATTAGGCTGCTATCAAGTTTCGCCCAGTCCAGAATAGATTTAAAATCCCTGCTGGTTTAAGAGTTTATTCGCCTTAATAGAGCTTGGTCACAGGATGGGATGACTGGTGACAAACTATTGACTATCCAACAGCACCCCACAATTTTCCTGAGCAGAAGAATCATTTGCAACCGTTGTTCAACGGAACTTTCTATGAATTCCTTGTTGACCGGTATTCTAGGAGAAAAAAATACTTAGTTGAGTCGGACAACGTGAAAAGACAAACTGCGCTCATTTCAATTCAACCGAAACTGTATAATTTCATCAAGATTCTTTACATTCGACTAATGTTGGGATTTAAACTAACTTGTAAATGTTTGCTCAGCTTGATGGTAATAGCATTTTATTAAAAAGAACAATAAATCACGGGGTTTTGCAGCGATCTTTTCATACAGGTGTCTTACCAATGGTTCTTTCTCGAATGCATGGTCAAAGTAACGACTCTCATGTAAGTAAAGCAGTTGAAGGGCCTTTACTTATGTTACTGGGGCAATCGATGTCGTTGGTTAGGGACCATGAAGCTGAACTAGGCGCATAAACACACGTGTATTTGTGGGAATTGTCACTGGGTAGTTGAAGAATTCACTCAGTCCTCAACCTTAGGGAAACCACTCATTTGCGTACTAGACTTTGCCTTGCATGAGATTCGTCCGTTTCTCCAGTAAATTTTCCACAGAACCAAGGTTTGGACCAATCATTATTGATATCAGCGCGAGAAAGTTCAGCTGTGCTAGATATATTACTTAAATGCGCCCCAACTTTTGGTCCTCTTGGACGTTTCGTTGAGGATAATTTCAGTCGCTCACGTAGCGTTGTTAGCAAGTGGCTTGTTCGTCGAGCCGAAAACTGTGTTCGGAACGTTTCATCATCTGTCGAGGTGACGTTGTCGTCATTTATTTTAAAAAAACGATGCGGCATACCAGTGACGCGTCACTTCACCGCACAAGATACACTGAAGGCACACAACGGCTTGGTAATGAAACATTTGGAAATGAGGTTGCTCTGCCAACCATCAAAGCAGCTGGCAACATAAGAACCAGGCGAGATATGAGTAGACTGGATGTAAACTATGAAGGGCGGCATAAACGCGAAACCCACGACGCTTAGTAACAGAACGAACGAGGGATTAACTCGAATCCCAGTCTGAATCAGCAAGCGAAAATTTCTCGGTTACTTTACTCAAAAGTTTTGTTTTAAAATAAAAAAATGGGGTAGACCGAAATCAAGCATCTTGACCGTGTTATCAGGGCTTGGGGCGGTAGTAAAATATCCAAAGTCTTTGACAAATTGTTCATTTCCTTTAACCGAATAGTTAGAAGTTAGATAGACCTATGTTGTACACCCACATTGCCATCAGGATAGCAAGTTTCTCGAGGTCGTGTTTATCAGTAACAGAGACCTTATCACAAAATATGCAAAATTTGGCACAAGTTTGAGGTGTGAGTGGTTGATAAGCAGCATGATTCCTCTTCCCATCAAGAAACTTTATTGACCGAATCTTTCGTTACTGGTCATCTTACTGCGGCATAAACATTTCTCTCACTGTGGTGAAGTTCCGTGCGCATATAATTCACACACTATATTTTACTGAGATATGATCATTAACTTTCTTCATTTCTACACCTGAGCCATTTGGAGCATCTTAGAAAGTGTAACCAATAAGAAATCGTAAATTATGCAATCGTCCAACCTCAGTTTCCTCGTACTGCTTATACATACAGGTTTGGGAGCATATCCAATGACTCAGTTCAATAAAGTTCGGTCTGAACAAATCTTTAAGTCATTTTTGTTGAGCTGCATACTATATAGTCGATTCACTCTAATGTCCAAACGAGCTACAGCAGGATACCGAGCAGTTGTTTTGTGTGGGTGTGCTCGTCGAAGACGATAGTCTAGAGTGGGATACACACCGACGATGAATGTGTGGTAAGCCTTGGATTGTGTATCACTCCGTGTCCACCAATCCGTGTGCAGGCTTAGCTAAACAACCGATTCCAGGTGCATGCGACCGCACCCTACTTATTCTATCATGTTTTATGCTTTGAATAAGCAACCACTCACTACATGGCACACCCACTGGGGCATGTATTCATTTGCCCATCCATGTGAGAATTAGACAACCAGCGGAATGGATGTTCGATAATACAGTCGCCCTAAAAATGTGCTATTTTTTCAGTCTCACACATAAAATATGAAGGACTAGCATTGGAAATTTTCGCGTTTGCGATTTTAACGAAATTACCGCTCCATCTTTACCCGAAACTATTATGCACGGTGAAGATAGGCACCCTCATTCAGCGTTCTCCGCTCCTAGTTTGGTGAGTGCATCGAGCAACAGCAGTGGAACAAGTGGAAACTCTATTAGCGGACAGTCTTCATCCCTGGCTGTGGCTACTGCCGGACAGAAAATGGACTCTGAACTTCGCTGTCCAGCTTGTCGACGTTATTTCTATTGCCCATTGTTGCTTCCATGCGGACATTCGTTATGTACCTCCTGTGCAGCTGCCGGTCTGCTTCCAGCTACGGAGCCACATGTGGCGGCAGCAATTCAGGCGGCATTAACACTGCCAACAACAGATCAGTACAATACCGCGGCTGGCGCCTCATTCTCTTCTGCTTCTTCAACGACAGGCAGTAGCAGTGGTTGTTCGAGCCAACCATTTGGACAAAACCAGAGTCAACCCTCACACATTCCCAACAGTGCAATTCATCATGTCAGTTCGGCCCATTCAGACTCCGACCAGGTTAGCGTATTATCAGAAACAGATTCTGGCGTAGTTGTCAGTAGTAGGCCTGGTAGCTATATTGCTCGAACGTCTGTGCTAGTTAGCCATTCAAATGGGTCATCTTCTAGCCTCAACACGATCACACATGGACTTATTTGCCCTGCATGTAACCGGATTATTGCGCTCTTGGACGATAAAGGAATCGGTCACTTACCCCGGAACCGAGCGCTTGAACGAGTGGTTTTCAAGTTTGCCAGTCCGGAAATATTGCAACAGAATCTAATTAAAACTACTGTGGTCAACACGGAGACATTTCCCCTACTTTCAGCCACAGATCCTCTAAATCGTCCTGGAGGTCCGCTTTGTCAATTGTGCGAGGAGCCTGAAAAGGGTGAATCCGAACAAATAGGGAATGTAGCATCTGTTTGGTGTGAACAATGTGAAATATTCTATTGTACAAGTTGCAGAGAAAAGTGCCACCCTTCAAGAGGTCCGCTGATGCGCCACGCTCTACACACGGCAGTCAAAGGCGTAGAAATTGTTAGAAGAAAACGTCAGAATCAACCTCCTCCCTGTTTAGTGCATTCTCACTCACCGGTCACTTTCTACTGCCTCAACTGTCAGGTAGCTGTTTGCACAGAATGTCTGGAAAGTGATAGTAATTTGCCCAGTGAAAGTCACGGGAAACACGAGGTACAACCTCTAAACTCTGCTTGCAAGTCGAAGAAGGTTAGTAATCTGCGTGATATTAATGGTATTCAAATAGACCGTTTTTACATTGAAGTCGGTATGTTTGAAGTTTCAGTCCGTCGCTAACCACAAAAACTGCAAATTCTTTCAAGACTATTGCATGCGATAAAGCAGAAAACTAAAAGTTTGTGAAAATATACTGCATTGGAGTATTTTACTGCACTATGCGGCGAAACCATATCTAAGTGCAATGTTTTCATCAGACGCGCACAATAGCGGTAAAACTGTTCCATGTGACTTAACGAATTAACAAACAGATGTGTGTACTCTAAGCAAACTACGAGGCTTCATTCTTCTGAGTTTTGATGAAACACGTCATTCACTCAGTTAAGCGGAGACAGAATTTTGCCAGTAGTTTGCCTATGATTAGTTGGTCCAGCTGTCTTGTCACCGTCAGTTTTCCCCGACGATCAACATATTGGTATTTCTTCCGGACTTCAGATTCTTTGGGCGGTAAGTAAGAATGGAGCAATATTTGCAATATTTGCTCAATAACGCCATAGAATGGCACAGACGAGCACAATCTCTTACCGGTTTTGTCGGTTTACAGTTGACGAAACTTGACTGAGACTCGACGAAAACCTGAGAAATGCCAATTTAACACCGAGTATTTGTAAAGATTAAGCTCTGGTAATCCTAGCTATACTTCATGCGGTCTTGATGAAATTCTCATTTAGCTGGACATCACTGAGTATCACTTGCAGTGTACATCCTTCAAAAAATTCAATAAGCTATTAGTAGCCAACAGCAAAAAGTATGTAAAAAGACGTGTAAGGCTTTTATCTGGGGATTCAACACTCCAGCAGCCTGCAAATACGCCATCACGTGATGTATATGAATGAAAGATGGATGGTGCTATCTTCTGTGTAAATATGTGCTAATCACTCTGCTGATCGGCCGCTGGCAATCGGGCTACTAGCCAGGAGGTGGCTACCACGAAACTCCCTGCAGTTCCCTGGAACGCACACTGCTGATGATTCCCACCAGAGATGAAGCAAGTTTACAGTACTTCTTGTTTTTTTTTGCATAGAAAAGCTTTCCCTACAGAAGGAAAGCTTAATTGAGATTGCCCTAATCTCCTGACCANTCTACCTCTCGACTTCTCCTGTCTAAGCTTGGGCAACCTGGCAGTGTCCCAGCCCTCGTGCTTCCTTCGTGTGGCATGGTTGCTAGGCACCGAAAGGGTGCTACAGCTGAAGGATTTTTCCAGTCATTTAACGTGTTCACTTTGTCTGTCAGAGTCGACTCGAGTTGTCATTTTCATCACATCCAAACAGCCGTCAATAGATTATCATGGTCCTGACCAAAACCCTCGGGTTTCTACCCGCAGCATTTCTTTAGTTTTCTAAGAAATATGCGAGTAGCCTCCAAAACCACGCGTAATAATGGATTTGTAAAACTTAACTCCTGCTTCGCTTGTCGGGAGGTTTTTAGGCCATTAGGCATTACATTGCACAGTCCATTCAGGAGAAGGACAATGTACGTATCCTGCGGACGAACGGACCTTTCATGCGAGTAAATAATATCGTAGTAAACGATTCACTAAATCATCATCTTTTCTTCTTTTTATGGTTGTATGGTTTCGAGTCGTCATTAACCAGGGCACTGCTTTACACAAACAGCTTATTTGTTTGAGAAAAACATTTAGATCTTTCAGGGATATAGGATATTTACTCTTAGCTGATTAAGTGAGTTACATTACGTTCCTCAAAGCAACTAAACGAGGAATAACTTCATTAGTACGATTTCTTGAATGAATCTACTTCTTTGTCAGGGTAAAGTTAACATATCTCAGCTTATTGTCTGCGTTGTGTGAAAGGCATGAATTGGTGTGTTATGTTTAGACATGAGACGATCACCTGACCAGTTCAGCTGGTAAAACTGGCGAGCCTGTTCTGTACATGAACTTCAGGTGAGATCAGCTTGATGGCAGTAGCCTCAGAATTCCGAGAAAACGTAATCTGACACCTTTTTGGACCAGTTTTGTTGAACCCCGTACACGATCTGAAATGAAGGGTACGGGGTAATGAAAAGCGCTCGTGTCAAATAGGTGGGCTAGAACATAAACCTGGATTTTGCATCTAGATATCAGGACAAATCGTTTTTGGGCACTGCTCTCTAGTCCGATTAGATAAATGTCGCTCCTTAAGACCCACATAATTAGCATTACTTGAATTCACAAACAACCACTAACGAGGGCAACACTAGCAGTCTGCCTTCATTTTGCGGTCGTAGAAGAGGTAAAGTTTACATTAAGGATTGAATTATGGCTGTTTTGGAGGCGGATCATCCAGCTGCGCAGAGATGTATGGTTAACTTCCCGAACGTTGACTTGTCCCTGAAGGGGTTAGCAGAAAATTTGTGAAGTTGACCACTTCAATTACTTCTGTTTCCGTTTTATTCTACATTTTTCATGAGTTAAAGCGAACAGAGTGACCCCCTCTTCCAAAGTGTTTCCAATAATACCCAATTAGAGTTCAGGAATGTCATTTGTGCATATTTTTGGCCATAGAGGCCAAACAGCCATTGGGGGGTTTTGTCGTAGCGAGGGAGGACTAAAAAAGTTTGCATACTGTACATTTCGGATTGCATTGCGACACGTCCATAAAGATCCGATTGTTTACTTCCATTTACATGTTGATTTACATGCTACAAGCTACAGCTGCTGTAGCAATATTAAACCAATCTAAGGCTGTACGAAAATGACGGTCTTAGCTAAAAACGATACAAAACTTGTGGTCAATGTATGTGTTAACGAATATATTCCGATATATTATACATCAAATGTCCATTGTCACTTTTGAGCATATCGTGGGCTTAGAGGTGATTTTATGGCTATTCCATTTATCAAACAAAAGTATGCGTCATCAAAACTGTTTATTAAAGATGCAACAGAACTTTCCAGCTCTCATAACTGTGCGCTGCTCGGCGATAGTTTCCGGGAGACACACTTCAAATAAGAATACTGCGAAGAAAACCATGGCACTTAATTCGACATTGTCTAATGAGGTCTACAAATTGAAATGTCTCAAGCGGGCCCTAGCAAAATATTTGTCGTCGAATAGGCTAAAGAGGCTGGAATCCCTGCTTTAGGGATTTTAGGTATTCCGTACCAGCGTGACACAATGGGGTTTCAAGCTGTCAAACATGCGTTTAAAGGTGGAATCTTGAGTTTTCTGTTTTTTTTTCCAAGAATATTCAGCTCAAGCTCAGTGCGTCTAGTCTGGATTTTTTGAATATCGTATTGTGGAAGTTGGTTTTCATTTCCGGGTATCACAATTAGTTTTAATACGTAGTCTTTTTATTCGTAGCCAAAATTCTCACACCTTCGTCTGGTCTGCTGATGACCGGGTTGGAGTTGTTCTTTAGGAGTCTTCAATTGATTATTATTTACTCGTTAAAGGGAAGACATTTTGCTTGCCTTACCTCATCAAATGGTGTGGTGTCAACAAGATGCAATGCAAACGAACTCTGTTCAGATTTAACATGTGCGGGAGGTTTAACCTGTTTTACTGGTTGTGATCTATATAATAGTTTTCCTTGCATATTTTATGTTCTTATACGTCATTTTCTGTTGCTGTGCCCTTTATGCCCGATCTCATGATTTTCAAAGTAGTTAATACTCATACGATTTGTTGCAGAAACCCAGTGCACAACACCCGCTGGATATTTTGACTGCAAAGCAGAAGAGCCATAGATACTGACCTGTAATGTTCTTTGAGCATTTTAATCTTTTTTGAGACTGCAATTTAGGCATAGCTTGTTTCACTAAACGATGATGCTTGTATCAGTAATATTTTCAGACCCATCCATCAAAGGAGGAACATGTTTCTGCGTTTCCGTGATCACGGAGATGTTGATGGTCTGAGAAATAATTAAAAAGCCTGACGCACCTGCGATAGTGGGACTTTTATCAGCCTGTATGGTAAATAATACCTTTATCAACCCTGGTTTCTTTTATGAAGTTTGCATAATAGAAGAGTTTTGAAAATAAAAAAAAGGAATCGGTTTTGTAGGCTAAAATTTTCTAGCCCGGGTTTTACGAATGGGAATGCCCAATTGAATCCACTCAAGACGTTTATGAGGTTTTGGGATACATGTATGAAATTATTCAGTTACTTTGCTTACGAGTCTCAACGTTCAGTATACTCGTGGTTTTGGAGATGTCATTGAGACAATATTTCCCGGGATATGAGGAAGCAATCACTGAATATTTAGGTTTCCTGGAGGATATGGCAACTGAAATTTCACTGTTTTTCGGAAAACAGATGCAGTATTGAAGAAGTAGGATGGTTGTCAAAGTGGCACTATACGAATCTTAACTTACTTGCTGTACAGTCATGTACAACCTCCAAGTTGTAACAAAAAAGGGACAAACAACCGCCACCGATTGTTGTACCCACAAGGGTTGCTAGGTTCTCCCGCTAATTGAGTTCATGATGGATGCTGTGTTTTGGGGCGTGGTTGACGGATGTCACAGTGTTGGTTGTACATATTCTCTGTCTTTCAGAGGACCAGTGAGTTGTTCCAAACAGTGTTTTTGGACATGAACTAAAGTGACACGAAAGGAAGGACCCGGCGAATTTTTGGGTAGCGACCAATGTACGCGAATTGTGACTGTAATCCTGGTACAGTCATATGAGCACACGGTGATTGACTTGTTAGTAATACTGATTCATTTATTTTACATTAAAATGTAAGCAAATGAGTAACCTCACCTAATACTCAATCTGTTTGCCATATACAAGTGATCCTTTATTCAGCTAAATAGCGGGCAATGTGGATGAACGAAAACGTATTTACGAAGTCTGGATAAGCTTTTCTAACAGAAGACAAATTTGTTCAGCTTCCTTGAGTTGAGTAAACAATAGACTGACATGCTTCATAGAACAGCAGAATTTACCACAAATATTACAAAATTTGCACGTCACTTTGGCCTCCGTTCGGTGCTGTTCCGTGTCCTTGATATTAAGCGCGTT